AATGGCTAAGGCAGCATCTTAAACATTCTCATCAATATTAAATGATGCACGCGATGTCGCTGATGAAGCAAGAAATTTTCAAGCTGAACTTTTAAGCACGATCAAGTGTCGTTTGCCACATCGTCGATTTTCAACGTTAATTAAAAACCTCGCCGTTCCGTAGGATGCAGAAGAACCACTTTTAATAATATCACGTAGAATTTAGAAAATTAAATGTTTCTACGATTCGACACGTTCCACTTTGTTCCGTCCCAAACGTAGTTCCAGATAATCATCGACAACCACGAACAAATCGCATTACGTGCGTTAATTCCGCTTTCACGTTTCCGTTTCCACGACGAAATAACAGGTTCTTGATACAGATTAATAATCAATTTGATTGACGCGAGTTCACGCGTGACTTCCGACACAGACCCACGCTTGTTTGCCTTTCTATTCGTGGTGCATCGAAATCTTTACAAACAAAAGTCTGGCAGAGTTTTTATTAAGCTTGAATTTTGACGATGCAGTAGAGTCTCGTTATATTGCCGGCGTTTGGGGAGGTTACGCTCTCCCCGCTACTGTAGCGGGGAAGCTGACCTAGGGACTTGGTACACTTGGCTGTAACGTAGGTCCGGGATGTAAACTTCAGAGATCTTTGATTTTACGTACTTTCACATTTTCTAGTTTTTAAATAACTGAATTCCAAAATTATTAATAGTTTCAAATTTTCATATTCTAAAATCTTAACATCTTCAAATTCCTATATGTGTAAATTTCCTCATTCCAAAATTACTACAACTCAAATTCCTACATATCCAAATTTCCCTATAGCAAAATTCCTACATCCTCAAATTCCTACATGTCGAAATTCCCCACACCCTCAGATTCCAACATATCTAAATTTCCCTATACCAAAATCCCTATATCCTCAAATTCCTACACATCTAAATTTTCCCACTCCAAAATCCCCACATCCTCATTCCTACATCTCCAAATTTTTCATAGATCATTAAGTCTCTAAATTCTCAAATCTCAAGCTCCCCAAATTATTGCGTTCCCAAATTTCTAGGTCCTCAAATCACTATATCCACATATTTACAAATCTCTAGACCACCGAATGTCTATATTTTTATATACATGAATCCTCAAATTTCTAGACTAAATTCCTGTATTCTTATACCCATAAATCCTTAAATTCTTAAGTCATCATAAGTGATAGGTCTCTCCCTAATATTTCCACATTTTCCCTGAGGAAAATTGCTCCCTTGCTCATTTGCTCTTGCCTATATCTTAGAACTTTTGGACTTCAAAAGCTTGAAACCATTTTGAAACCGCCTGTACAGCTTTATCATCCAAGCTTCTATTTCTAAAATATTTACGACGATATAACAAGAGTTTTTAATTAATTTTAATCGTCATCTAAACTCGGTTACCATAGTACACCGACAATTACAGTATAAAGCAATATATTAATTTTCCGCTTCACGATGTCACCATAATTGTGTGTGACAAAATTAAATTTGATAGTATAGTAACTCCGCTTTTCACTTTCCACAATCGACAACGATCTTTCCTCGCTTACGAAACAACGTGTCTGTGAGAAAAGAGGAAAGATTTAATTCCAGTATAATTATCGCACTGATTATAATCACTAATTTTGTTTTTAACGTTAAAAATGAAGCATCCAGGGAGTGTACTCACTTCGATGAAACTACCGACGGATAAAATTTTATTGACGATCATTGATATCTATCCTCGATGCGTTCCATCTCATTTACTTCTCGTGTAACTTAGAAAGCCCACCTGTTGAAATCGACCTTCTCTCCACGGCTACGTATAAAACCCATAAAAAGTGAAAATCCAATGCGCAGAGCTTATTGCATTCTTTCATGCTTCTTTAAACATTAATTTGAAAAAGAAATACATCGTAAGAAAGTATCGATTCGGAAGAAAAAATGTTATACGCATCATTTTTTTCTCGGTGAGATAATTAAACTGATTCTTGTAGATATAGTAAATAAATGACTATAATGTATGACTCATTTGCACGAGGTAAACCGCAAGGATAGTCTCAATGTATACATGATATTCACTTTCATACGAGAGATACATATCGCTTTCAAATTTCTAATAGACAGAAGCATCGATGACCTATAATCTTTATGACGATATAGCGAGGTCGTAAATTAAACTCTTGTCAAGTACATAATAAAATAGAAATTTCCCAGGATTGCATTTTAAACTTTCCTTCATATCATCTTGACGATTTTGATTTTCCTTTATACTGTTTCAGGTTTTCAATGCTGACGAGTTTTACAACCACGCTATAGCATGACGCGGACTTTGGTGCAATAGAATTACAGTTATAAGTAGTACAATTGTTTCATTCAGATTAACCTCTTACAAGTGTAATCTGATTTAATTACTCAAGTTTTTATTTAAAAAGTAATGGTAATCGTTTAATCATTTGATAATGTTGTATGTCTTTGAGAGTCCTCTTACAAACATAAGATATGTTAAAAGTAACATGATACTTTTGAAGTATCTTTTGAAGAGTATAAATATTTTCTTGAATTACATTCTTAAAACCATAAGACACAAAGCTACAATTTTTTATTACAATTCATAAAAATTAAAATAAATTTGGTAATATAAAGCTACACACTTATATCAAGAACATTATTTAAAAGAAATTTAATTTGTGTTAGTATACTTATATTACCAATTTCATACTTTAGAGACTTCTCAAAAGCTACATATACTATAGCATACTGTAACACAGTCTTTCATAAGTCCTCATATTTTTTCAAAACCTAAAACAATAAAAAGATAAAATTAAATGCAAAAAACACCAGGTTTCAGAAAAGGAAAATAATTTTGTACTGAGAAAATAGTACAGGTATCAGGTATACCATAGTGATTAAATTCTGCGTCTGGTGACGCTGACCATGACCTTCCGCTTCTTACACGAATTATAATGTACCTTTTGTGGTATCATGCGATTACAAAAATACATCCATTATTCGTCGAGTTAAGTCGATCAATGAAGAAATGGAACAACGTTGCGGTCACGTTAATGATTTCTCCGTCGAAGCGAAACGAAATACACACTTCATCATTTTTCATGCGCGTGTTAATGTTTAAAAATTTACATACAGGTTATGTTTAACAGTACTGTTAATCGCTGACCTCGGTTACGGACGCATAGGTTAGGAATACTAATTGATTTGCTCATTACGTAAGGAGGTAAATTGTCTGAAATCGTAAATAGTCTGTAATTAAAATTTAAATAAAATATGCACTTCGTGACAAAAAACATTATATAAATACAAGGACCTAACTTCATAGACTTTGTATTTAAAAACTGACCTGTCATTGCGCTATGTCGGACTATAACATTAATTTAAATGTCCATTAAAATAAATTAAAAGCTGTGGTTTATAATATTATAAAATTGTTAATAATAATATTTTTTACAATTAGGCTTTATGACAAATGGATGAGTTCATGGTCGTACGTTCCCCTTGTTAACCTAAAACTATTTGTATCTGTTTACATGAAACGCCCAGGCACTTACGTACCAGTCGGTAAAAGTGGTTCTCGCAGAAAATCATGCGGAAAGACAGCACGTACGTACGTACACTAACAAGGAATGTGATAGCGTACAGTCAAGACGTGGTGAGAGTACGGAAACTTGGGTAGCCGCCAATTTATACAACATCCAAACGGTTGCGCTGTGCGAGGATTTTGCTCTTTTCGAGTTCCCTGACTTTATTCAGTGTGAGCCATAAAACCGTGTGATTTACGTTCGCGAATCATTCGAAGCTCTTGAATTAAAACAGACACCACTCCAAACAATTTCATTCTTTCAATGTACATTAAGGCTATCTCTTGACACTGCTTAATAGATTGAATTACACGAATTATTGCACGTTGAAAAAGAAGTTAATTAAATCAATACAGATTAAGGTCAATGATTCGATCAAGTCAGAACAACATAAATGACAAGCTAGATCGCCTTCGTACACTTTCCACTGAAACATTCTCGATACGGAGTTACAGATAAACGCGATTTACGATTCGATATTCGATCCAGCGGTCAGGTGGAAATCGAAGGTAAAACCTATCGACCTAATTCGACTCTCTGCCAAAGCATCGTGTATCGATAACAATTTTTCAATGCGGACTACCTGTTAAGAGGAGATAGCTTAAAGAATTTCAGTACCTACTGTGCGTAAACTGCAGGATTAAATTACAAACGCAGAATACAGGTTTCCTTCGATGGTTGTAGAGATGAGTAATACGTAACCTGATGTAATTTTAATTACAAATACCACTAACCATAGTTTACTTCGTGCATCGTGAACGAAGTAAAGATTTTACGAAATTGATTAGGTGACATTTATACACGATTTAATCGCATTAAACAAACGCGACATGTGAGTACGTTCGTAGCTGTCGTACACCGACGAGCATGGTAGGCTTCTCTAGGGAAAATGGCGACGTATGGGGGTAATGGCCCCACCATTTGTTGGCTTTTTGGGGGTAAATTTTCAAATGTAAAACCTTCAAAATTTATAACTACAGAAATTTGTGTCTTTAGAGATTTATAAATTTGAGAAGTTAAGGATTTTGAGAATGCAGAATTTAGGAATTTGCAAACTTAGGGATTTAATACTTCTGAAATTAATAATTCGAAGAAATCAAGGATATTTAATATTTAAAAGTTGAGATTCACAGATTTGAAAATTTACAAAATTGAACGTTCAGTAATTTAGAAATGTGAAACCTCAGAATGTAAAAATTCGAAAATTTTCAAATTTTTAAATTTGCATATTTGATCCCTCAAAATTAAAGACAAGTGGTGGGAGTATTTCCCCTATATTAGTCGTTCTCCAAAAGAAGTCTACATTGCACTGGAGTGTACAATCTGTCGGCAAAACTCGCGACAATTTGACAGGCAGGAAAAAGATGTTCGCGGAACACGCGCACTTTCATACGGTCTGTTCTGTACTCACCGAAAGCAATTCCTCGAGGCAAATGAACCGACGAGCGGTATATATCCTTTCGAAGCTCCGAAACTAACCAAAAATCGTATCCACGTGTACGAAACGAAACCAATCACGACACTGTATCACTCACTGAATCCGTAAACGGCGCGCGATCAGATGACACTTTCGACGCGCGATTTTACGGCTATAGAATCTCGTCACGTCGCGCGTTTTCTCAAGAAACGGTACAAACGCTCATATTGCTGCTTCGCAGAATGAATTACCAGCTTCCCTCTCTGATCAGCAGCGATGGGCGTGGTTAATTCGTCGTCGACACACGAAGGAACACGAACGCGAACAAACGTCGTTCATTGGTGGGTCGACAGACTCGTTCACACTTGAACGAAAAATGTAAGACCAATCAGTATTATGCGCAAAATTTAAACTGAATATCTGTTACAAAGTACATGTTTTCAAAAAAATTAATAAATTCACCGACTGTTGCTGATACATTTTCAAGAAATTGATGAAATTATGGTTCCGTTAATATTTGTGTAATGATCAGCATGAAATTATCACGTTTCAATACTGAAATTATTGTCGATTCAATATTGAATCGAATAAGGAGAACGTCATCAACATGGCGAAATACAAACAACCGCGAAAAATTAAACACACATTTGAACATGAAAAATGTATAATAGTATTTTATATGTTCAGATTAAAGATATTTGAATAATATGTTATGAAGAAATATCTGTACGATCTTAAATTTGTAATTATGAAAATATTTTATTTTAAAATGTAATTATTCTTACGTATGAGCTACATGAATGTGAACAGTACTTTGCCCTCTGAAGAAGTGCTGTATAATGTCAATTTATTAAAATCTAGTTTATAACAGGACATTTAGTACATTTTTAAGTATGCATTCGCACGTACTTCAAAATAAGGTACAACATTGTTTAAAATGCAATCACATTGATAATATTCGCAGGATTAATGCACATGTAAACCATGCTTATGCAAATATAACCTCCAAGGATAATAATCATTTTAAAAAAAGCATGTCTTAATACCTCAGTTAATATACTGCAAGTTTATAGTTACTGCCAGCTGCAGAAACGAAATATAAGCATCTATACTTCTAATATTTACAGTACTCATACTTTGTAAAGCAAAATAATGTATTGAATCTGGTCTTTTTATGTTCTAGAGCGAGGAAAAATTGACTGTGGAAGAAAAATGGAAGTAAGTTATAAAGTACTTCTTGAATATTATAAAATGATTCTTTTACTATGCAAATAATAACAATGTCATACTAAATAAGCATTGCAGAGACACATATAACGTGTTGATTGATCCTTTTTTATTGATAAGGTAGGATCAATATTGTCATAACAGAAAGAGTTGCACATATGTATATATATAAAGAGAAAATGAAAGAGCATTTAGGACAGCATTTACTTTGTATAGTGAGAGAATCGTGTATAACTTTATATAAGTAACTTGATATATTATATTAAATTATTTGCAGCATATACGAGAAGCAACACCATGGACACGAATCGATGCATGCCAAAATGTTACTGGTTTTATTAGTAACTGTACTAGTAGTACAAGTTATAATAGTTGAATGGAAAAAAATACATTACAAATCGTATCAGGTAAACGGAGACAAATATATATAATTTATTTAGAATATGTAATTTGACTGAGTAATGGGCAAATCAAGGGTTTACCAAAGTGTACATGTCTTGGGACAATTTATGGGAAAATGTGAGAAAAATTTGAGAGAAGTTTGGAAGAGTTCTATAAAAAGTCTGAGGAGGTGTAGGAATTATCTTCCCAGTCCTGACAGTCAGATGAATATAATATTTATAGACCTTTCATGTACCCCTTGGAGACACAGTTACCATTACTGATGTAGCTGATCTATATTAATCTACATTAAAATATGTCTTTCAGCTCATTACCTTAGTTGCTATGTGGATTATTCCATTTGGATTAAGTTTAAAAAATCACTGGTGGAGGTTTATATTCCTTTGGTTAGTAACATCTTGTATAACAGGATTAGTAGTACGAAAGGCTGTTCAAAAGCCTATAGCAGGTACAACACCCAGGTATGTTTGTCTTTATTAATATATATAATATTGTATACATCTTTTACAAAATTTATGTATTGTTATAAATTTAATGATTCAAAAAATTCATTTCCTTATAGATTGGTGTACAAATGGTTTCTTTTTATTTATAAACTAAGTTATGTGTTGGGTATTATAAGTTATATTATATTATTAGCTACATTTTTTGGTTTAAATCTTGTATTTGAAGTGAAACCTCAAGTATGGATAGATTGTGGTATGCTCTTGCTATTTTATGGTCTTTATTTTGGAGTGTTAGGAAGAGATGTAGCAGAAATATGCGCAGATAAGATGGCTTCGCATGTTGGGGTATGTACAGGAGCAACCAAAATTACAAACTTTTAATACTTGTACATAATAAATAGCGAAACATATTAAATAATTTACAGTATTATGTACCAGGACATATGCCAACAAGGACTTTAGAACCTGGTGTGTGTGCTGTATGTGGAAATAGACTGTTAGTGTCAGAGAATGAACCTGGCGTTCTTGAAGACACATATAAGCTTAGTTGTGAACATGTGTTTCACGAATTTTGTATTAGAGGATGGTGCATAGTCGGAAAAAAACAAACATGTCCATATTGCAAAGAAAAAGTTGATCTCAAGAAAATGTTTTGCAATCCGTATCCTTTTGTTCAAATCATATTTTAATATATTACTTTTATTCTATTAACCAACCTTAATAGTATTACCTTAATAATATATAAAGATGGGAACGACCTCATGTCTTGTATGGTCAGCTATTAGACTGGATTAGGTGGTCAATCGCTTGGCAACCATTAATTTTGTTTCTTGTTCAAGGTATCAATTGGGGCCTAGGCCTCGAGTAAGTAACATTACATAGGGTATTTGAATTGCACTTTACATCACCATTGTGTTTCCATACAATTGATAACTTATTTATGTAAACAAACAATCTGTTTGTAGTTTTTTTACACAGCAGTTGCTATTATATTTGTTATTTATAACAATGAATTTTGTTAGAAATATTCAATTTCAATCCAATTCGTGGTTAAAATTTTAATCAAATGCAACGTTAATGTTGCACTATGTTAAAACATGTATAAATAACTGATTTTATACGATCAGAATAATATGACGACTTACGAAGTGCTATTCCTTTTGCACCTTCATAAATTCGATTTATGTAATGTTTAATAATAACTCTTCCAAAGAAACCTTTTTTTTACTATACGTATGAAAATGTTTATAAAAAGAAATAAGTTTCTCAAACGACTATGTGATATTGACTATAAATGTGTTCTAATTTAAATGCGCATTTTTAAATTCATGTGTGAATACGAATCGCGATTATCCGAATTAGCTGAAATTTAAAATAAGATAGAGAAAAAGCAGTATTAACAGTAGCAGGAGAAACATTAAGAATACTTTGATTTGTACTTTGATATTTATATAGATGAAACTTCAGAGTCATGAAAACAAAGTTTAATTCGGATAATTTGTGTTGGAATATTTTAATGTATTATACATGTAAAAATATCTTAAATTGATTCGAGAATGATAGGAGTTTAGTGTATTTACCATTTCTTTTATCATTCCACTTCCTTATTAAAGCTAGTCGAATTAAGTTTGGGGTTCACTGGTCTGAACACATTAATAATAAGAATTTACTGATCTTCATGCTCACCGCAATTAATAAAATAATCTCTAAGAATTAATTTGATTACTGTAATCAGATAAGCTTATATAGAGAAATATTTTGTTTAAAATAATCTTCGCCGAGGTAAATTTTTCTTACATGTAGAAGAAAGTGGTACCTTACATACCTTATATTTAGTTCCATTCCAGAAGAACGATTTTAAACAGTAAAATATGTTCGAAAATAATACTGCAGCAGCTCATCGTTATTTTAGGTGCGTTGAACTTATTCTAATAGCAAAGCTTTATAAAACATTAGGGTGTACTGTCGCTATGTGACAGCAAAATTTGTATAAAAGAAAACCGTGTATGAATATTCTGCTACTGTAAAATAATGTACAAACGGATTTGAAGGTTCGATCGTGTAACGATCAAATGTTCATATCTCACATTGTTTCGTAATTTCTTTTATAAACAAAACAGAAGATTGCCGAGAAACATTGTAAATATTTCTAATGAAACTGTAAAATCCAAAACCTGAGAAACATTGTTCCGTAATAAATGATGTACAAAAAGATACCAACTTCATGTAAAATTTATTTCTCATCAATAAAGTTTATAAAACAGTCTATCGTTAGGAATTGTTAACAATTAGAATTTCTTTTTTGCTGTGAACCGTATAAAAGTTAGAACTTCATCTCTCCTCAATTACCATTTATTTCTATACTACATCCAGTGTCTTTTGTTTCATTTTATTTATAATTTTTCCAGAATAACAGAGGAATCAAATTTTAATGATGGATACATAAATAAGACAAGATTAGAAGTCAATATTCATTGATGTAATGATCTGATGAATCAATAGTACGTATAATCAAGTTATTCTTCATACAAAAGACAGAACAAATAATAAAACCTTAATGAGTTAATTGTTGCGAAGGTAACATGTGTGAAGTGAAAGGGAGGATGTAATTGTTTTTAGTTGGATGTACAAAAGAAATGTACAAGAAAGAGGCATACAAGAAAGAAAGAAATCAATGATAACAACTTTGTCAGTAATGTTACTAAAAGTTTAATTAACCTCTCACCATGATCCCTTTAGCAAAAACAACTTGTATCACATCTCGCATTCATAGGTACTTGTTCCAGACAGTTGGACATATATATATATAAATATCTGTTTTATACACTTATATAAGTAAAAAGCCTCACGTCACTGTTGTAACTGGTAGGACAGGTGAACAAACCACGGACAAGGTGAAGAACACACTGAACCTGCAAGATTGGATGACACAGGTGTGAGGTGAAGACAATTTGACAAGTTTGGCTGTTGGATTGAGACGCCACGAATACGATGGGATTCATCAGGGATGGGTCAAAGGGTAGACAATCACAAACACTGGGAAATTTTATAGATATATTTATTGAGTACTTAGCGTGTAAGAGTATAGAATAATATGTTACCTTATCCGTTAAATATCATTACATGGTATCATTGTATAATGATGTAGTCTTTAAAATAAAACCTCGCGCGGACAGATTGCGCGTGTCGTGTGTGTATATGTGTGTATGTATGTGTGCCTGTGTGTCGTGTGTGTATGTCTGACGAATATATTTACACAATGCTCGCATAATCAATATGTATGTACAATTTTCACGAAAGGACAAGAAACGAAAAGTACCAGAACATGGCCCATGGACAGCCTTCTTCATCTCTTCTCGATTTACTGTTCGTCCACGTTTCACTTACTGGGTCTTTTTCATACGAAAGTATAAAGGACGCTAATAATATCGACTGACTGTATTTTCCTCGTTAATGATCATTGCGGATACCATAAAAAATCGTCAACATCGATATCGCGTATCTTTGTGTTTCATGAGCAATAGAAAAACCGGTCGCCATTTCGATCAACGGAATAAAACGCATCGTGTGATCAAAAGCGACCATGATGGGCTTATGTACAGAAAGGAGAGACACGTTCTTCGTGTCGTTTGGAAAAAAAGAAACACAATGGGACATCTGGTCGCGAACGAACATTGCCTCCGGGTGCTATCCGTACAGGCCTGGGCAACTCGATGCTAGGTGGGCAACGTCTTACATCGATTATCTTTCAAAAGGGGGCAGTGTTTGAAATGCTTAACACTTCCAGACCCAACCGTGTGATACGACACGTTAGGTGGTGGTCTTTGCACCGATTACTCTGGGATTGAACGTGTTAAGTTGGGAGCAAGGATGGCTTTTGTTGGTTACGGGGAAGTCTGGGGACTCCACCACTAAAGTGGTTCGGACTCAGTTCGGCAGTTTTCGGCTCCCACCGTTGCAAGGAACAATTGGCGGGAAATTATAACCGGAAACCATCCTTGCACGTGATTGTACGCTTGAGCTAATTGATAGAATTTCAGGGCACCAGTTGCCCCGACCTAATCTACGACGACACGCGAGGTCGACAACTAAAACGAAAACAATGCGCACAACTTCCCCCTCGGTTATCGTTTAACACAATTCGTTATATATTAAATTTACTACAGTAGCTCTCGCTCTTTGTCACTCATTCTCAACACCTAACGCGGTCTCGCTCTCTTTCTCACATTGGATCCTTTTAAATACATACACGATAGTTACGAAGTATTGCTTTCATTTAGTCGCGGTTCGCCCTCTTAAACCGAGTCACAGCGGACGGTTGCCCGTCGACGGCGAAGATTCGTGTCGAGCGTAACAGTAATAAAGTCTTTGCACCTTGACGCGAGATTCAGCTTCCGTAAGAATTCTGCTTTGGGTCTTCAAACCCAACTATGTTTTAAAACACGTTCCACGCAACGATCTTTGAGATCATACAACCGGTGGAACACAAAAATAGAACTTGGGAGTTATAGAAGTGACAAGTACCTGGTTAGGCACAAAGATGTATTTTAAAAATTTAAAGTTCTTCATGATTTTTATGGCGGCTTACTACTCCGGGGTTGTATTAAATCCTTCGAATGAGGAGATAAACACATCCCTCGCGAGTAGATAAATTTTTACTGTCTCAAAGAAGAAAATATTGGTGTCATGAGGCAGAATTCTCTCGGCGTTGTCTCGCTGTAAGGTGTCCATGCGCTAAGCGTAAAGTTAACTCGAGTACATAGGACCTTAAAAACGTGTTATCGTTTCTCTGTCATGTTTCCTTTTCCTCTCTCCTTTGATTCCTTTTACTTCCACGAATAAACGAGTACATCTAACAAAAAATGTCACGCGTTTGCTGAGCATCTAGAACATTTTATTACACATGGCGGGTGGCGGATGTAACGGCCAGTTAACTGACAAATCGGACGAGCACTCTTACGAACACGTTTCTCGCATCTCCAAGATGGCCAACGAAAAGGAATCAGAAGTTCATGACCGGTGCCCGAGGCTTTCAATGGCTCGACGCTTGAGAAACTTTGAATTAGGAACAGATGTGAACCAATGGGTACGATACGAGTTTCGTGTTCGCGGGTCGGGGATGTCGAAAACGGTGAATCACAGACTGATATGCCTCGTGTCACCCCGGGCTCTTGTCTCGTAGATCAATGAAAACTATCGCGAGGAATCAAAATATCGTTGTTAATTAGAAGGGCGAAAATTACAATAATGTCCTATTAGTGGACGCAGGTTTCAAGGTGTTGATCTGAAAATCCATCGTCACAAAGTTAATAGAAGTGTCATTATTAAAAGACACAAGGCATTTTAATATAGTTCAGGTCCATTAATTCTGAAATCTATTGCTCCTTTTTTTAGGAGATGTCTAGACGAGACCCTCACAGTTTTAAGGTTAATAATTATTTTTGTATAACAAAGAAATTTCTATAATTCAAAGGTTAAAAGTTTAAAATCTTGATACAATCCATATTGATGGACCTAATATTTCTTGTATAGCAGGAGGGCTCCCATAATTGCAAAATCGATAATATTCTCAAAGTGTGTTGAAAGTAATATAATTCGAAGATGAAGAATAAAGATTTGACGAGAAGAATAATGTTCTAATGCTTTCAAACGAATGGAAGTTCCTCTGACAACCTGCGTCCCCCAACTGCCATTACTGTAACGAAGCCAGAAGTGCAGGTCGTTTGACCATCAGCTTCCGTTACGTTGGTAAAAAAATGCATCGTTTTTACAGGTGAACGCGAAATCTACTGTTGTTTTGCGTGGGTTTGCGGCAATACACTGGCTATACACAACGGATATGTACAGCGGGTCGTTTAAAGTCTTAACCGTTTACTAAGTCCCTCGTTAACTCGTCAACTAGTGTACTAGTTACTTTGTTAATTATGATTATGTATGTTTTGCTTTTTTTTCCTTTAATCCACCTAACCTTGAACACAACGTGGTCGAGACGGCTCGCACGTTGGCTCGCTATTTCTCTATATTATTATTTATACGTACGTATCTTTATATTCGCATTATTTTCCCCCTTTCCAAATCGCGGCAGCTCGATCTCTACGCTTTTTTTAAAATTTCCTATTTCCTTTCCTCTTTTTTTTTTATCGTTTTTTTTCCCTCATTTTTGGTTACTTCATATAAACATCGACGAGTTCAGTTTACAATTATTACAGAGAGGAGGTTCAAAGGTTCATCTCAGAGAGGGCGCAGGGTTGATCTCCACGGGATGATCCCACAGACAGACACACGGTTACATAGGACATCTTTGACGACACAATTCAAAAAATAATTTTTTCATTTTTTTTTAGTAGAAAGATAGGCGGGGTATTTCCGTACAATAGTATCATATCGTATTAATATTACTTCTTTTTTTATTAGTTATTACTATTATTAGCGTTAGTATTATCATACCATTATTACTATTTATTAATTATTATATTATTATTATTATCGTTATTATTACGTTATTATTCCACCTGGACATTATTAGACTCCTAACCTCGCCTTCTATTGCTCGTCTCGATACGTCACGTCGTCATTACTACCAGGATCACGCGAAGTACTGACACGAGGCATATATTATACAACGTTACAAATTCCTCGCTTGGATTATTATAGCTGGTACGACACGCAAACATATCTCATAACCTATCGGATCTATTTACACAGTTCCTCCTTTTGTTCTACGTACGAAGCGTGGGTCGTTCCGATCTCGGACTCAGTCTGGGACGATCAACGCGATTATTCTCTACGCTAACGAGTAATATACTGTAGACTCTCGTTATATTGCCACTTGAGGCTCCACCTTAACCCTCCATCATTATAGTGCACGGAGAGCGACTGTCGAATTCGCTGATTCACGATCATGCTTCATCTCAAGCTCCTTCAGGACTTTTAGACTCTATGAGTTTGGAAATTAGGGACCTTAAAACTTAGGCTTTAAGCTTTGGACCTTTGGAATTTTCTGACTTTAAAACTTAGGCTCTAAGCATTGGGACTTCGAACTTGAGATCTGGGGACTTTAAAACTTAGGCTTTGAGCTCTAGGAGTTTTTGAAATTTGGGACCTTCAGACCTTGTAAACTCTGGGATCTTGGGAGTTCAGGACTTGTGATTTTGAGTTTGGGACTTTGAGACTCAGACTCCAAGCTTTGAGAGCTTAGGACTTAGGGATGAACTTCATCCCAGTTCTAATTTTCTCGACGTTTTAATCACACTAGTACTACTCCGCCATTTTAGCGCA